CAGGATCCCTTTACTGTTCACATGGTAAATTTTGAATAAATCACGTTATGTTTTATAAATACAGTATATAAGGAAGGAATTTACTTTAGGAAATTATTTTATTATTAGTAGTAAATTGACAGATAAAATTGTGATGACATTCTGATTTAGATGAGAAACCTGGGCCTTTTATGACTTAGTAACCTGCTTGTTCCCTTAGGAGTAACTATTGTGGCATTAGTTTTCTGTACAGGGGGGACACTGGGAGTTGGAGGGAGGTACGTTGCTCTGATGCAGCTAGTCTTGTAGATGCATTTGCATCAAATGGTGAGTGCATTTGCATCAAAGCCTGTGGAGAGTTCACACATGCAAACAGCTCTAGCTTGTTGATAGCAGGATTAACCACATTTTAAAGTATAGCAATTATGTTTTGCTTTGAAGCAGCTACTATTTCATTTTCATTTTAGTTAGTAACCACTGACTTGCTTTTTACTATCTTAAACACACTTCTGTTTTAAACTTAGCCTGAAGGGCTGTGTTTGGAGGTCCTGACACTGAAGGGTCCTTCCTGGTGTCTAGAGAAGGTCTGCAAGCAGGGTTGAGAGAATAAACCTTTCTTATAAACAAGCCTTCCCTACGCCCAGCAGGGAATGGGCTGCAGGGGCTGGAGGGGATGGCAGGTGCTCAGGGGTCAGGCGGGAACTCCAGAGGCTGCTAATTTCAGTAGGTGTTTTTAAAATTTTCTAGTCAAGGACCACTGTCAGTGAAACATTTCTGAGCATGAGTATTTTCCCTCTCCCCACCCTTTCTCCTTTTCTCCCCCTCCACAGAAAAAAACATCAAAACCCACAAAAATCACTGTCTTAAAACTCATTATTCAGCAATAATTAATCCCAGTAGAAAATAAAAAAAAAAAAAAACAAGGATTAGTCACCCCAAAATAATTTCCTGTACTGGTAGATTGCTTTTTGTTCTTACATTTGAATACAAGTAAACCAGACTCCAGAGACGCACTTTCAAGGACAGAACAGCAGACGTTTGAGCGTCCTGGTGTATTTGGAAGTGTATAACAGTCGGTAACAGGGGCACCTTCACTCACTGAGAGGCAGACAACTCATCAAATCACTTGCCAGGGTTCTAAGCCAATTGACTTAAGTATATATAGTCATTTATATTTTAGTATATTCATATATTGTGTGCATTATAAAACGTGCAAAAGAGAAATTAAGGAGGACTTGTAAAATATACTGTATTTTAAAGAATACTTTAAAAAAAGTCAGTGATATATTTTCTTAAAAATTGTAGGGGCTTGTTTTCACTGTTTGGTTTAAATGTGTTCTGGTGTTATCATAAAACTGATACATAGATTAAAGAACAAATATGCACTTCATGATAATTTCAGTTACTTTTCGTCAGTCTTTCAAGTTTCAAGGGTCAGACTGTTGTTGGCTTAACCATGGGCTAAGAAAGAGCTTATGCTAGGAGGAGAAATGTCAGGTGTTGTGTTCCTTTGTCTTTTCCTTTTTGCTTGTGCATGCACTGCTGGTAATATTTTCAATTCTAACAGGACTCCTTTTAAGTCAGTTGCTTGTGGAAGTAAGATCAGTTGAAACTAGGCAATGTATCTATGAACTCAGCTGGGCATGTGAAAACATCAGTATGTCACAACTTAGTGAGTGAGTGAAGGTGCCCCTGTTAGCGCCTGTGTTATAGACTTCCAAATAAACCAGGATGCTCAAACGTCTGCTGTTCTGACCTTGGAAGTGCACCTCTGGCAGTCTGGTTTACCTGTATTCAAATGTAAGAACAAAAGTCAGTCTACCAATACAGGAAATTATTTTGGGGTGAGTAATCCTAGGTTTTTTTATTTTCTACTGTGATTAATTATTGCTGAATAATTGGAGTTTTAAGACAGTGATCTGCTTCCAGAAAGTAATGAAAAAATGTTGTTTATGAAAAGTAGTGTTTTATATTGCCTATTTAATAAAAAGTAATGATTAGTTTTATAGTTTGAAGACAATTGAGAAATCTTTGAATGAGGAGTAAAAGGTATTTGTCTATGTTAGAGGAGATGACTATTACCTATGGTACATATTATACCAAATATGGATTTTTCAGTTTTAGAATTGATAGGGAGCTTGGAATGAGTGGGAGAGTGACTGTCAGTTGGCTTAGAACCCTGGCAAGTGATTTGATGAGTCTGCTTCTAAGAAAGATTTTTATGTTTTTTGCTGGTCATATTCCATTCTTATTTCTGAAAGTCAAAATAATGCAGGGAATGTCAAGAAATTCTTAAAACAGCTAATTTTGGTTCACTTTAATGAAAATATTTAAAAATACATTTAAAACATTTTGAAAAAATATGTTTTAAAAAGTGAAATATAAGCTATTTAGAGGACTTGAGTATTACAGAAATCATGCAGCAAAATGGCTATGAGTCCTTCTTTTAAAAGATATATGATGTGATTTTTAGAATCAATATGGTATTCAAATGTATTTATTTGTTTTCAGGCAGCAAGAATCATTGCCAAGTTAGCAGCTTGGGGCAAAGAATTGATGGAAGGCAGTGACTTAAATTACTATTTCAACTGGATAAAAACTCAGCTGAGTTCACAGGTGAAAAAAATTTATTCTAGTATCTTTGAAAGGAATATAACATCTGTATTCTCTTAAGCGATTTGCAGTAAATGTGTTAAATTACAAAAAGTTTTACTGAAATAATGCCATTTGATCTTAATAAGTAAGCCATACTACTCTTAGATTTGGCAGTGTGCTTAACTTTTCCTTTCTTTGACTGGCTTCAATTCAAACCTTTCTGTCTCTTCTGCCTCTTGGGGTTTCCCACTCATGCTTTTCAGGGGTCAGGGTGCATCTTCCTTCTAGCTGGCTGCCGAGATCACTCAGGTTGGAGAACTGAAAGGACCCGAACAGCTCTGAAGAGCGTGCTCATATGAGTCTTCGAGTAAAGGAAAAGGGGAGAAGAGGTGCGGGTGAGAGACTTCAGGTGCAGCTCCTGTGTGTGCCCATGAGATTGTGAGCACGAGGATTTATGTGCGAAATCTTGGTTTGGGGAGAGCTCTCTGAAAGTTTCTAGTGAGGTCTTCTGTTGTCCTTTCGGTTACATAATCAGGCCAACCCATATAACCAGTTACACCTAGAAAAAAACTGGGTCTGGGTGCCGCTGGGGCATGTCAAACAGCAAGCAGCGCATTATCAATCATCAGTCTGCTTGTCCTTGTCTGCCTGAGTCCCTGCCAGGATTCCAGGCATCCTTGGTGAGTCTGGAGCTGCCTGGTCCAGCTATGAGAGGACTCTGTCTCACATGGTGGCGCATTCTCATGATTTCACGGTTTCGTAGTGGGATTGGACAGATGGACCTGAAGCTTGCTCACTGCACATCTTTGTTGCTTCTAGGCCTCTCTAGCTCGCTCTCTCCATGAAAGAAAATGATAGCTTTTGTGTCATGGCTGGGAAAATGACAAGTTTTTCTGTTTTTGTCTTTGTTTCCTCAGTACAGGACAAAGGATGGTGCACGAATGATGGCTCTGTTTGTTTTAGGCTTACAATGACAAAGTGTTAGGTGGTAAGGGGGAGGTGTGGTGGACTTGGCACTTGGAACAAGAGTGAAGTAAAGGGGGATGGGAGAGCAGGCTTCTGGGGAAGAAAAGGCAGAAGAAAATGAGACTTTAGTTGAGAGTGAGTGACGTGGAGAGGTGGGAGCAGGAGAAAAAAGATCGGAAAGTCGTTAGACTGCAAATAAATGTCTGTTTGGAATAAAGTTTTTGGAAGTTGTAATTTAGATTACAATTAATTTAGATGACTTTTATTTTAATGGATTTTAATTTGAGTCATAAGAGAGACGCTGTGATATTTTGCTTAGATGTACTTTTGTCTCATCACTGCCTACCTTTTTTGGGGAGAGCTTAATTACCATTTGTATTTAGGTGGAGAGATTTTAGAGTGTTTTGAACAAGATGAAATTTTTTTTATGTTAATAACATCAATTTTAACTGCTTTTTTTTGCTTAATTTTAAGAAGTATTTTTTATAAGTCACCAATTTGCAGATTTTACTGAGTTTGTGAGGTATCAAAACAAGATATTTAAATCATGAAAAAAACAGGTGTGTGAAAATGACATTTTAAATTTCTAAATGTAGCATATCATTTGGGGTCAGAATGCTTAGTTAAATGGTATACAACTATCCCCTTTTTTCCTGCTTTGAAGTGATCTCACTCTTTAAATATACCTCATTCTGCTTTAATGTTAGCTTTCAGGTATAGTGGTAATAAGACTCTGCTGTGGCTGAATTCATAAAATGAAAATTGGAAGGGAAAAATATATGCTGTAGCTTGCTACTAGCTTTTTGGGCAGTTTTGCCTTAGAATTTTCCTGATAGGAATAATATTTATATTGTGCCTTACAGGTGATATTTTGCTTCTGGAATGACTGACTATGGTTGTAACCATGTCCAGCAACTGGGGGAAAATATTTCTTTCATCACTAGTAGAAGCAAATATTTCTTTCTTGTTTTCTTTTTTTTTTTCACTCGATGTTCTTATTTTCCACACTTATCTATGGGTTAGAAGTGCATATTTCAGTGTCTATAATAGTTTTCATTAGAACTGAGCTTTTTGTTATTAGATAAATACCTTCAAGATATTTTCTGAATCTTTCTAGTGCACTCTTTTTAACACAGTGTCTTTGGCTTTAGGATGTGATTTGGTGTTTGTGCTTTGCAAGTTCTTCTACTGCAAGTCCTTCCTCTTCAAAGTACCCAGGCACAGTCTGGCTTTGCTTCTTATACTCTGGTTACTGCTTTCTGCTTGGCTCTGATTGCACTGTCTCTCTTGCTGTGCGCAGTCACTTCTTCCGTGCCTTATATCAGGATTAAATTACGGACTCCTTACTTAAGAAACTAACAGAATTATTTGTGATTTTACTTGCTACTTTGCTCAAATGACATATGATAGTGCTATACCTGGGAAGTCCCTTTTTCTCTATCATAACTGTTTTCTTTCATGAAAAGGACCGCAATTTCATGATTCTAATAGAAATAAACTTTCAAAAGTCTAAGCTAGTTAGTTGCAAGTTTGGATGCTTCATTCTTTCACCTTATAGTGGCATTTGAAAACTTTTTTTTTTGGCACTTTAGAGCATTGTATTTGGGTTATGGGCACTCATGCCTGTACTTAGTAGATGGTAGTGGATAGTTCAGTTTAAGACAGTTATCTTACTGAAAAAACAGTTCAAGCCGGGCTCGGTGGCTCAGCCTGTAATCCCGCGCCTTTGGGAGGCTGAGGTGAGTGGATTGCCTGAGCCCGCGGGTTCGAGACCCACCTGGGCAAGCGAGACCTCATCTCTACAATAAATCAAAAAATCAGCCGGGCGTGGTAGCGCATGCCTGTAATTCTGGCTACTCAGAAGGCTGAGGTGGAAGGATCGCCAAAGCCCAGCAGGCGAGGCTGAGGTGGCCGGGAGCGGCCACTGCACTCCAGTCTGGGCAACAGAGTGAGACTTCAACTCAAAAAAAAAACAAAAAAAAAGCCAGTTCAGCAAGTAAATCCTGAGACTTGGAAATTTGCACTAGCTTCACCTATAATTTAGGGGAGCTTAGTATTCAGTTTATTATCGTTCTATCTTTAGTAACTTATTGATTAAGACATCATATGGAAGAGTATAATGATATTTAGGATATTTTATATCATTCCTATGCTTTTTATTAAATAGGATTAGGAAAAAACTTGTAGAGAAAAAAATTATTAACATGGAATTAGGGAGAAAAGTTTGCTTGGTTCCCTTTTGTAAGTTGATACATCAGGATATAATTAAAAACAAAACTAAGTAATAAGTTATTTATTTCATAATAGAAACTGCGTGGTAGCGGTGTTGCTGTTGAAACAGGAACAGTGTCTTCAAGTGATGTAAGTATATTCCTTCTTAATTCACTGGCCTCCTAACACTGAAAATAAATTATTTTGAGTCATAGACTCTTAAAATTTTGAAGATGTTTATTAGTTCCTCAATTACCTAGCATTACCTCCTGCTAGGTCAATTGTATTAATACTTAGGTCAGTGGTGATCACTTTTTTTGTGGTGGACAGGAGACTTCTTTCCTGTTGCTCTTTGTTTCAGGCCACTTTATTCTGGACTTGAGAATCAAAGCGGGAATCTGAATTCAGATGCACAAATGGAACAAGTAACCATAAAATTTTTCTCTTCAAACTTCAGTTGTCTGATAAATTTTCTAATCGACAGGTGAACATTGCACTAAACAGTGACTGAGAGAAATTCAGTCACCTAATGACACTAAAACGTACTGCTGCGTGATGCAGCTCAAGGCTTATATGTGGCTGTGTGGTAGCCACCTCCCCACACCTTTTCACATTTTTGGCCCATCTTTTTCCACATTTTGTAGCGTGAAAAGGTTAATGGTTAAAACTAATCATGGCATCCTAGTTTTTATCTAAAGCTCTCTTTCCCATTTGGGAATGATTTTACTTTGCTATGCTTTAGAAATGGTTCTAGAGCTGGCAGTAAGTTTGGCCAAGTAAGAATGGGCATAAGTGGAGCCAGCTGGGAGAACAGTAGGGAAAAAGGAGGAACATGACTGCTTCTAGCTTCTTTTGTTGGAAATATCTCTAGAAAACTAGGAGGAATCTTTGGAGGGTAGTGTCTGCAACCTGCCTGTAATAGACCTAAATGAAACTCTGTAGGAGCCATTTAGTATCCATATTGGTTACTGGCACTTTCATAATCTGAATGGAACATATACTTATTTGTATGTTCTAAGACAATAGATAGCAGTAGAATCCATTTTCTTTTTTTAAAATTTATTTATTTAAGGATGTGGGGTACAATTCAGGGTTAGGTATACAAACATTGATCATGCAGGTACCCTTGTTGATGAGGTATGCCTCTCCCTCCCCTAGCAGTTTCCTTCAACTGCCAGTCCCACCCCCCCTCCCCTGACAGTTTTCCACTACTGCCAATTGCTTTCTTTTAGCCTTATAATTGTTCAAGGTCACCTTATGAGTGAAAACATATGGAACTCAGTTCTTTGTTTCTGTGATAAATCACTAAGTATGATTGATTCTAAATCCATCCAAGTTGCTGCGAAGTTCATGTTTGTCCTTCTTTATGGCTAAATAATATTCCATTGTGTATATGTCCCACTTTTTTTTTATCCAGTCCAGCTTTGATGGGCAGCATGGTTGGTTCTGCAACAAACATATGTGTGCAGGTGTCTTTTTTTGTAAAATAATTTGAGTTCCTCCGGGCATATTCCCAATAGGGGAATTGCTGGGTCACACGGAAGGTCAATTTCTAGTTCTTTCAGAAGTCGCCACACTGTCTTCCAAAGAGGTTGCACAAGCTTGCATTCCCACCAGCAGTGTAGAAGCATTCCTTTTTCTTCACATCCTTGCCAGCATCTGTTGTTTTTTGTTTTATTACCGATGGCCATTCCTACTGGGGTTAGGTGGTATCTCAAGGTGGTTTTGATTTGCATTTCTCTGATGCTGAGTGAGGCTGAGCACTTTTTCATGTGTCTGTTGGCTGCCTGTATATCTTCGTTTGAGAAGTGTCTATTCATGTCTTTTGCCCACTTTTTAAAGGGCTGTTTGTTTTTTTTCCTTTCAGCACGGTTGAGTTGATATTAGGCTTTTGTCAGATATACAGTTGGCAAATATTTTTTTCCCATTCTGTGGACTGTCTCCTTGCTCTCTTGATGGTTTCTTTTGCTTTGCAGAAGCTCGTTAATTTGATGAGGTCCCACTTGTCTATCTGATTTCTTAAGGTATTGGCCTTTAGGGTTCTGAATAGGATTTGGTTCCCAGTTCCAATTTCCATAAGGGTGTCTTCTGCGCTTTTTAAGATTCTTATAATTTGAGGTTTTATGTTTAGATAGTGTTTGCAACCTGCCTGTAATAGACCTAAATGAAACTCTGTAGGAGCCATTTAGTATCCATGTTGGTTACTGGTACTTTCATAATCTGAATGGAACATACTTATTTGTATGTTATAAGACAATAGATAACAGCAGAATCCATTTTCAAAGCTACAAGCTGGGCTTCTCTTGGAGCATGGGTTGGAAGTTTTGATTAATAGTGTGTTAGGCCAGAAATGACCATTAGCCTTCTGAAGTGGAATCAGAACAAGGTGAGGAACTAGATGAGCAATCTTGGGACCAGGGTGGGGCAAGGAAATAAATGGTGGGTAGGAAGTCTAGTCATCAGTCAGAAGCAGATATTTAGATTGAGGCTATGTTGTATAGCTTGGCTTTCTGCCTGTTTGAAATTTTGAAGGATTGTTTAACCTGCATATTTTAGTATTACTGGTATATTTTTTTTAAAATGTATTTTCAGAATCATTTATCTTACAAACTTAAGTGATTATTAAAGTATTTATAAGTTATTAAACATTAAGTAAGGAGATGAAGCTTGATATTCTTATTTTGCTTGACATGATATTCTTATTTTGCTATCTTCTGTCCAGTGTATGGGAAAAACCAAACTGATTAATTGAATCGGCAGAGTGTTAGTGTAAGTGGTTTATCTGCTGGTAGGTTCATATACATATATCCCAAATGGAATTTGCTTTAGGGGTTATTGTGAGTAAGGAAAAGATGGCCTTGGATTTCCTCTCTTCTTCCCTTTGGTGTCCCTCAAGCCTGGCATATTCTTGGACTATTCCTGAAGGCTCTTTTTAGGTAGCTGTCCCCTTGAAAAGCAGACCTCTATGAGTTGAGAGTAAGGTGATACTTGTGTCTTAATAGGAAGATCTTAATCTAGCAGCTCCTATTTATTGAGCACTTACTATATGTGTGGCACTGTCTTACTTATTTTACATTTACATATTTTTGAATATTTACACTCCTTCTTTGAGGAAGGTCACACCATCAGCCACATTTTACGGACGAGCGGCGAGGCCCAGCGGAAAGCACGCCGACTTGTGCAAGGTCACACAGCTGAGTAGTCAAGACTCCAAATGAATGATTTGCATAGTTGGAGAATTACTTCTGAGGCAGCTGAACTAGAATTGGGCCTTCAGGCATTCCTTAAGTCGTATTGCTCACTCAGACTTCTTAATATGTCAGTACCATTTTAAAATCCTTTGAGGTTTTCAGAGTGGAGTAAAGTAGTTTGGTAAACTGCATTACATATTATTGCCACTTGATGTCAGTATAAAACAAAAAAGTTTTATACTGCAAGATGAGAAATAAACATGATTCAGTAGTCACCTTTTAAAATGGTCATAGAAGCCTCATCTTAAGTTGTAAGTGGATCATTATAAACATGCTTATTTAAATGACATTACGTAAGTGAAATTTCCTTAAAGTGCTTTATGTTCTCCTCTCCTAATTGTGAAAATAGTAAGCATCAAAGTATATGTATTTACCTTAAACTGCCTGATTCTCCACTCATTCTTTCTTTCTTTCTTTTTTTTTTTTTTTTTGAGTTGAAGTCTCAATCTTGTTGTCCACTGGAGTTCAGTGGTACACTCATGGCCACTGTAGGCTCAACCTGCTGGACTCAGGTCGTCCTTCCGCCTCAGCCTTCCAAGTAGCTGGAACTATGGGCATGTGCCAACATGTCTGACTAATTTTTTGATATATTGAAGAGACGAGGTCTCACCAAGTTGCCCAGGATGGTCTTGAACCCCTGGACTCAGGCAATCCTTTCACCTCGGCCTCCCAAAGTGTTGAGATTACAAACTCGAGCCACCACACCTGGCCCTTCATGCATTCTTTTTTTTACCCTTCCCTCCCCGCTCCACCCCATTCTTAAATGTGAATCACGAATCTTCTCTTCCGAGGAAGCAGCACCGACTCAGACATGTATTGTGCTGATGCCCTGATAAAATAGTACCATGATCCTTCATAATCATTGGAAGATTTAGAATGAATCTGGAGATTTGTTTGTTTCTTTCTTTCTCTGTTTCCCTTTGCCCAACTTCATTTGTATGGTACACATTTACAGGAGAACGAGAGAATTCTTAGGCTCCATATGTGTCCTGTTCTCTGGTTATTTTCATTGCAAGCTCAGTCTATCATTAGTTATTGCTAAGCGGCCATTGTTTCACTAGTCATAAGTGACTTGATTCAGTTGCCAGTTTCTCATCAGTGTACTGGAGCAGTTCTGTCCAGTAGAACGCCCTGTGATGATGGAAACCTTCCATATAGCCACGTTGTCCATTATGGCAGCCTCTCGCCACATGTGGCTGGAACACTTGGAATGTGGCTTATGTGAGGAAGTAATTTTCAATTTTATTTCTTTTTTCTGTAGCTTTATTGAAAAACATTTCACATGCCATAAAATGTATCCATTTGCAGTTTAGTTGCTTTCGATATATTTATAGACTTGTGAAACTATTACCACACTCTAACTTCGTCAAGTTTCAACATCTCAAAAAAGCCAAAACAAAAACCTGTGTGCATTAACAGTCTTCCCCATTCCTGCTCTCTCCTCCCAACCCTTGGCAATCACTAATCCAATTGCTGTCTCTGGATTTGCTTCTTCTGGACATTTCATTTAAATGAAAGCGTATACATGGTCTTCTGTGACTGGCTTCTTTCACTTAGTATAATGTTTTTAACATGCAATAATAGCAGAATGGGAGGGGGGAAAAAAGTAGTGTTTTTGGCTTTTGGCCAAGTTCCTTAAATTGTTTTCTGTGGCAGTTTTAATATCCTTATTAATGAGAGGCTTAGTTTTACCGCCTTGGCTTTCTTTTTAATTTAATGCTGTGCTGATATGATGCTTGTCAGTCTTCCAGAAGAGGTGGAGGAGTTCCTTGATTTAGTTATTTACTACTTTGTTGGTAAGCCCATCAAAAGTGCTGCCCAAGTATCAGAAATCAGTGAGCTGTGTCAGTAATTCAGGCTTGTTCTTTTTTTTTTTTTTGATTTGGAGTCTCACTCTGT